CCGATTTCGATAATTCTTTTTTTAGAATATTCCTTGAAGTACGAGGATGGTTCTTACGCAAAGAAAAATTAAAATAAATCCTTAAAAAGTCCAAAAACAACACTTTTCTATACTCCCATACAAACGATTCGTAATAATAGTTAAAAGTCAATTTGAACTTTAATACCATACCGTTTTTTTTATAATTATATGAAGTCATTTTAGTCTTCACTACAGCTCTACACCGAAGCAAAGCGAGGGCGGGTCACTGCCACTAGTAAGCTAATAAATATAATTTTCATTGCTTCCAGTTACTTTTATTAAATAATGCTACTAAAAATCTGTAGTTATCATCGGCAATGGGAAAGGCTACGGTATAAAGCCAAACAGTCACGATAATGTAGACATTTTTGGTTAAGTTGCTAAGGAATGAGCTGAGGGCGACATCTACCAACTGCACTACGCAAAAATTCTTACTTTCAACCTTTTTTGTAATTTTGATGTGAAATGAAACCGCTAGAAATAAAATCACATGAAATAAAGTATTTTCGCGTACTTTATCCTTGGCATATACTATAGAGTACAATTACCGGAAATGACGTACAATACTTTTTAAAATAAAGTACGAGTGGCAACCCTAAACTCGTGTCGCGTACGAGTGCATTTATTTCACAGCTTGCAACATTTAAATGCAACAATTATTGAAACACAGATGCCGGTATCTACTCGCTATTACCAAATTAATTTAGTGCCTTAAACGGTCGGTCGAGTTGCGAAAACAAATCTAACCCGATATTGAATATTGTGTCAATAATGGTAACCTACATAGATAAAACATTTTTAAATAAATTATCAAGTGTGAAAACTTATAATAAAAAAAATATGCTTCTTATATTTCCGCGCACACCAATCTTATCCTGATTTTTTATTAAACTTCATAGTATATTATACTTCTTTAATACATAAAAGTAAAAGATAGGATGTTTGTTAAATACGAAAACGTCTGAATAAATTTAGTATGAAAGAAATATAAGTATTATATTACATGTACCTAAGCATTAGAAATTTAGTTATATTGGGTTAATTATCATTTCAAAAAATTATAGGTTCTTATTGAATTATCAAAAACAAACTTACAAAATGTACCTAATATCAGAAAAATATATAAAAAAAATCTAATATTTTCGCGTTTACAGTTCTTTTCCCATTTACAAATAGTAGTACAGTTTAACTTGATGATGATTATTTGTAAATTAATGTTTGGTTTTTAATGAGTGATGTGGGCTGTTGTTGTCCGAAATAAATTGTTTTTATTTTATTTTTTAACTAACTTATCTAAAATAGCCGAAAAAAACAACCACACGCCATATGCTACGTTGAAGACACGTAGACAGGTGAGTATTGAGAGAGATTCTCCTTGACAGAACCAGTTGATCAATTCGTAATTGACAGGTGCGTCAGACGTAACGGGAAACTGGCTTTAGACGCCGCCAACAAGCACAATTTATCACAAACTTCTTATAAGATTTGGAGGAAAAAGGTTTTCATTAAGAGTTATTTGAATGACTGTTTGAATGTGACATTATCACTTACTGAAATGAAAAGGTTGGTACGCGTTATTTGTAATATGAGCGAAAGTAGGAATTCCGATAACTTTTTTTTTGTGTCAAAAAAGCGTATGGGCCACCTCATAGTACATCGCTCACCACCATAGTCTATAGAACCTTTTTGTTTTTTTTTTTTATATAGAGGTAGGTAAATGACTCTACCCCACCTGATGTTAAGTGGTAAAAGAGTCCAAACGCAAAGATAGCTGGTACAGCAGTTATAAACTGCCACACCAACCATCCTCACCTTGTCGGCCAGCAAAAATGCTTCTTCACGGCTCTCTTAAAGGACCTCAGATTATAGGAAGGAGGGTACACTAGCTTGCAATATAAAAACTATCACTCGCACCATTTCCTGCCCTGACCCGAACCCCTACCCTGTGGAGCCTTGGAACCTTACTCACCACCAAAAAGTAGTGTTATTTTACTGTGATCTTCTGTAAGGTGGAGATTACTTCCCCAGACGGGCATTCCAATTCGAAATGTTTGACACATTCAACACATGAATTCTGACAATACGTTATACCAAACAGTGCTGTGTTACTCAGACACTATACTACTTCGACAATATCTTATAACATCATTTTACATAATTATATTTGAATAAAAAATTGGGAGTTATGGGGCTTCACCAGCTCCTAGCTCTTTAATTTATTATTTGGTTTATTTGGTCACTGTTCCAACCTACCAAAATCATTTCATGGAGATATTTTTGAATGAACTTGAAAGATAAATTAAAGCATGTAAAACCATGCATAAATATCAGTTTAAGAAAATAATTAATCTGATTGTAGATGAGAAATGAGATGTATTAAGAAATCTAAAGTATTAATTTAAATGATTGCATGACAGATTCAGAGGATATCCATAATGTTTTATCACAATTGAAGCTATTAACGGGGTTGTTACCATGTACCTTGTTTTTTATGAGTCTCCGATATTTTGTCACTGTTGCAAGACTATAATATTGGAGACTCATAAAAAACAATGTTAATAGCTACAATATGAGTGACAATGAAAATTTAAAACAAAATATCACAATTAATTATGTGTAGATAAATCACTTTAGTTTAAATATTGTCATCCATTGACATATTATACAAATGGTATAAAGGCAAAATGTTCATTAAAATAAATTATAAAATACTATCAGAGCAATAGTTACACTATAGTAAAAAAAAATAAGTAAGTCAACTATATGAAAAAAAAAAAAACCATGATTCAGCAAGAATATGACTAACACACCATATTTCCTTAAAAATGGCTTCTAATCTAATAAGAGATGTGAGTAATATAAGGTTTTCTAGGAAAAACTTTTTAGAACATACATTTAATTGTTAGTCTAACATATATATTGATTATGTACAGATTATTCAAAGGATTATATTACTTCTTTATTAGCTTAAAATTGCTTCATTACTGTTAATCACTATCACATCCATAAAACTGTTTGTTTATGTTATTAAACATTAAAAACTAATACAAAAATCTCACTAGATAAATACGAACTGTCTTATTACAAAACATAGACTATAGTTAAACCTGGATACATACCCCTTTTTAATAAACAAGGAATAACTTTACACTAGTTATGCCATGTTTTGTTCGTTTTTTTATGGATAGGTCTGACAAATGACTCCACCCCACCTCATGTTAAGTGATGGTGAAGTCCAGATGTGAAGATAGCTGGTAAAACAATTCTACCTGCCACACCAGCCATCCTCACCTTGCAGGCCTGCATGTTGCTTCTTCACGCCTCTTTAAAAGGATCCCAGGTTGTAAGAAGGAGGGAATACGTGAGCAGGCAGAGCACATGTAACTCATGTCCTTTAATGAACAGAGACAAAACATGTAGTAACTAATCCAATCTTATTCTTCGTTTATTAATGAGAGGAATAATAACTATTCAGTAAACTGTGCCTGGACTAATATTAAAGCTGTCACTTTTGTTTTCTAAAAAGAAGACAAACAGCATTAGATTTAAACCAAGACTAGTTTAGTTTACTTTAGTCCGCGTTTAGGAATAAAACACTAATTGAATAGGATATAAAAAGATACCTACTAACACTTTTTATGTTACAACTAAATATTTTTTATGTTTCACAACTTCAATCATTTCAGAACCATTGCAAGACAAATGTGTATAAGAAATACACTCAAAGTTTGCTATTGTTACACAATCACACAATAATTTATGCTTACTATTGACATTTGAAACTTGTCACAGAATGCAATAGGCCAACAAAGTTGAAATATTGGAAGGTCAAATGACTCAACATATTGTATAAACCAGCTACAGTGATAAAAATATAATAAAACAAAATTATGATATATATAAAAAACTGCAACTAAAATAATAGCATGATCTGAAATAAAACATATAGGTTTGTTCACAATGCCATGATAGGTAAATTTTTCATATATTTGTAATAAATAATAATATAATAGTAAAAAATAAGTAATTTTAGGCCTATTTAGTAAAAAGTTAAATGAAATTTAAAATGGTTTAATGTCATAAAGTAGCAGAGGTTTAAATGATTTTTTTATATCTCAAAATCACTCAACCATCGTACAAATTTGGGGGCACATATATCCAGCTGGGATTATATTATATATAAAATTACCAATAAACTACTTACAGTTTTTATACGAATATATCATTTAAATTTCTGTGAAAGCTATTCGGCAGTAAGTATAAAGTCAGCTCAAGTTCATTTACCTTATCGTCTCAAAACAACACCAAGATAACATGCTGTAATCAGTCAAGCAAGATACACATTAATTATCAAGGATTCCTGATAACTAACGAATTATAGCAGCGCGGATAGGGCGGGGTACTTTTATTACTCACATGCAATAACATTATTGCTACGGCCCGTAGGGGCGACCCGCCACCCCTATTCCGCGAAAACATTGCCACCATATATCGTCACCACCAGCTTCAATCGTGGCATAGTAAAATAAATTAGCTCACAAGAAACATTCAAGGACGCCGTAAATAGTTTTACACTAAATATAAACGACGCAAAACAGACAAATAACCGACGTGTGGGGGTACCCCCTGGTCTTCTGAATAAAAATCGATAACTTGCCTAAACGTACGTAACGGAAACGAATCATAATAGGATACAGAACATTTAACTTGTTTACGAAGATTTTCGTTACGGTGTCATTCATAAAACACCATAATTACGATTGTAATCAACTAATCGATGGGGCATGACGTGTGCACTCGCGTCTCTGTTTACGTTATTATATGGCTGGAAAAAACGCGCTGAAGAACTAAACAGATGTTCAGCGAGGCAGTAAATATCCCTTGCATAAAAATAGAACGACGCGTGCATAAGCATTCAAGTAATTATTTATTTGTTTTGCTAACGAAAGCTCTGGTGCGATGAACTCAACGGTACATACCTCATTTTGACGATATTATCCTTTGTCGAGACAAATCCGTATGCACTATTGCACAGCACGAAACAATTGTTCACTTATAAACTGCATATTTTCACATACACAAACAGACATTTCCGTATTATCGGCTCGAACTAACGCCTGGGACACTTTGTCGGGTAGCCATTTTTGTCAAAAATCACTTTTACGTCCCGTTTCCCGATTTCGGAAGGACGAGCGAGAGTGAGGACGCACTATACCCACCACACACAGAGTAGGCGAATGCAAATAAATGGATCATTGAACCGGGTGCCGGGACTACTCATACAACTGCGGTCCGAATTGTGTTCACGGGGAAATAAATCGATACGAGCTTTAATCCATCCTCACAAAGTTCAACCGTATGTCACAGGTGGTGATACAAAACGCAATTCGGAACAAGTTTGTTCCTATTCTGCAAACCTTCTTTATTTGGCTGGCTTATAGATTTATCGTCGAGAACCAATCCCTGGTTCCTAGCCTGGTTAGATACAACTACTGCCATCTGTGGAATAACTCAAGAACTACAGTGCGACAAGGCTCTATAGGATAGTGAGTGAAAGTTCAGAGAAAGCGCCATTGATGTCGATTCTGGCATGATTCTCTAAAGCTAAACTTAAATTTGACAATAGTGCATCCTTGCCATTCTCTATACAGAATGAAAAGGAGAGATTGATGTTAAATTTAGTTTTAAGTTTAGAGAATCACACCAGAATTGGCACCACTGTCTACTTATATGCACATAAATGTGCATGCAGCAGCGGTGTTAGTTCTATTTTTCGCCACACTCTGAAAGATCCTTGTCGCACTATACATTAGATTTTTTATGCAAAAATAAAAATATTACATATTACATTACAGTACATTCATTCGTCATTTCGTGCCTTTTCTTTTAATTGAATTTTATACTAGAATACTAACTTTGTAAAAAAATAAATTATTTGTATATGATAGGAAACACTATGTTCCAGCAGGATTGAAGTGGCAGATCGTTTTTTTTTCGTGGGAATACAACATAATTTCCTTTTTTTGTGGGAGCTCCGTCTCGCGATATGGGACGATCCAAAATGATAGCGGTCGCGCGTAAACTAGTTTAACACTGTTTATTTCTCGTGCTTGTTTTCAGAATCTGAATCTGAATCTGAATCTGAGTGCACTCTGGCCGCACCCTAAGGTCCGAATGGCCTCGTACTTTGCCGGAGGGGTTTGCCCGCCTATGCCATCTCCATTGGTATATGCTTTATGTATTGAAACTACGTTCCATTCTCCAGTCCTCACTTTATAGTTTGTGCTCCAGCCATTCGTACACAAATTAAGAATTGACATTGACAGTTCTTAGCGTTTCGGGGAAAAGTCAGCCTGTTTTTCTTTTGATAAACAGTTCTTTTTTCGAAAACGCCTAAATAATGGTGGGCGCAATGCCTGTTAATATAATACCAAAATTTTGTAACGGTTCCATGGACAGTCACAATGGTATGGAGGATTCCGAGTTTCAAGTACACATTGGCAGTCGTGTGAAGTGCAATAGTGACTTTGGTACGGTAAAATACATAGGTGAAGTGCAGGGATACAAAGGAGTGTGGTACGGGGTAGAATGGGACGATCCAGCTAGAGGCAAGCACGATGGATCAGTAGAAGATATCCCCTATTTCAAGACCTCTAAACCTGGTGCTGGGTCCTTTATTCGTCCAAACAAGATTGCCCCGTTTAGGACTTGTGCTGATGCCATCAGAAAGTATTACGGTGATCGAGAGGTAATTTTAAATGAATTAAGTGAAGTTTAATATAAACAAATAGTATTTGGTGTGTCAATTTCAATGATTAGAACATAGTAAGTATAAATTAGGTCATAGGACACCCACCTCATTGTTTTTGTTATGTTGATTCTTATTGTGTGGGTGGAAGGAAAACTTTTTTGATTTCCTGTCATTGTATTACTTTTTGGCTATTCTTAACATCATTTCTAGTGATTCTAAGAAAACAAACAACTTTAGGTGATTAGTAACAATGCTGATTTGGATATTCTTGATAGAATATAGCAACATAGTAAATAGTTTATAGCAACTTGATGTAATAAAAAATGTGTCTGACTCACACTAATTACTATGTGACACATTGTTTTTGTTTTGATATTAGGAACAATTCCATGTTAATTATTAATGGTAATAATTATACTTTATAATGCTAATAAAGCCTTCTTTTAATCAAACATTCTTATAAGGTATAATAAATATGGTAGTTGGAAAAACTGTGTAATAATCTCATTAGCAGAATCATATTCAACAGAAAATTGTGAAGTTTCACCTGATAATATTTTGAAGTTGTCTTGAGCCCAGAAAGTAGACAGATCTGCGGTCAGAAATAATGAAATGAAATTATAAGCTAAAGCTATAACAGTAGCACTGCAATCCCAATAGGCAGTAGACCTGATGGTCACCTATAGCTAAATAGTCTCTGTGCATCTTTATGAATGAAATCGATTCATTTACCAGTTCATTAATCAAAGATATTCACTAAGCTTTTAACACTTTAAAAAAAAGATTTTTAGTAAATGACGTAATTCTGTTGCAGGATGAAACAGTTGCTGCACATCGTAGGACGGTCATCAATGAGTGGAAGAGAGAGATGGGAGCACCTTTCATTGAAATGGTGGGATTCGAAAAGATACACCAGAAACAGTGAGTTTTGTTCAATTGATTTGTTCCAACTGCAATGCTCGGAAACATCAATCAATTTAATGCTGCAAGCTATATGGTACCTTATATTATTTTGATCAATATGTCACTATTGATTGATTGATTACACTAGGAATGGTATGCTATGATGGTTGATTTCATTAAATGTTTTAAGTCTGTTGTTTAAATTATTCAAATCTGAAGGTCAATATTCCATGTATAGTTCATTTTATCTTGTTTTATTATTCTGTAGAATCCTTCCTCACCAATCGTCGGGATCCAGTAGAATAAACAATACCCTTAATGAATCACACAGTTTATTCCTCAAACACAATAACCTTTAACAATAACTTTCCAAAGTAACTTCCCAAGTAACCTTCCGTAAATAAATACGAGTTCACAGCTCGGACGTCCGTAACAGAATGAATAATTTTAAAAACCTCCAGCATGGTTTCCCGCTCGAGCGACGGATCAACAGGAAATCAAGTATATAGATGGCGCCACTCGAGCAACAAACCAATAGCAGTAGTTGAGGAATCGTTTTCGTACTAATAATAAACTTTTAGCGGAAATGCGACAAATTCTACATAAATTCAAAAATAACAAAAATAGATACAGTCTTAGAAATAATTATACATAATTTGCTAACAACAGAATGAATAATTTTAAAAACCTCCAGCATGGTTTCTCGCTCGAGCGACGGATCAACAGGAAATCAAGTATATAGATGGCGCCACTCGAGCAACAAACCAATAGCAGTAGTTGAGGAATCGTTTTCGTACTAATAATAAACTTTTAGCGGAAATGCGACAAACGCTACATAAATTCAAAAATAACAAAAATAGATACAGTCTTAGAATTAATTATACATAAATTGCTAACAGATTCGTCCATCCTGACTTCTATGTTACGACCTCGTGACTAATTTAATACAATAATAAATCGTAATTGATATATTTTAATTGTTAAACAAATGCAATTTTACAAAATATTTAATTCTCATATGAGTCTCCGTTTGTCTTAACCCAAATAGCTAATTAATGAAGTAGAAAACCTATTAAAACAACTTTTATATTGATTAAAAGAAGTGGTTCTAAAGATCAAACAGACACTCATTTTTAAGTTATAACATCTTATTATTAACAGTGGTTTAATATCAATTATTTATAATAATATCCTTCCAATATTTTCCAATATCCTTCCGATTATCCTTCCGATTATCCTTCCGATTATCCTTCCGATTATCCTTCCGATTATCCTTCCGATGATCCTTCGAGTATCCTTCCATTTCCCTGAATTATATCCTCTATTATCCTCCCTCCATCCTACCAGTAACCTTTTGTAATGAAGTATCAAATTTTTAATGAACTCAACCATCCTTCATCGACCCATAATACAAATCCAATTCGTTAATCTACATCATTAACGTCGGTTGCTAAGTCATTATTTTCCTCGACTATTATTTCCTCTTCGCTAGATTCACTGTCATCAATCCCTTTAAAACTTAACCAGGGATGTACCTTATCAACCGGGTATACTCCCTTATAGCTTGCTTTTCCCTTTTTTTTTGTCAACGGTGTATCCTCCACTAGATACCTATCATTGGGCAAAACATCGACTACTCTATAGGGACCGTAACATTTAGATCTCAATTTTTTACTTTTTCCTGGGCAGAGAACACTTCTTTCCACTCTTACCAAATCACCTACGGCATAATTACGCGGTTTGTGTCTAGCCTTATCGTACCTTTCTTTTTGCCTTTCCTGCGATTCCCTAATATGTTCACTTACGTCAGAACGAATACTGTCAATATCAATCTCATTTGTAGCTTCCAAATCATCGTGCAACACATTAATTATTTTACCTTCTGTCATGCCTTTCAATTTCAGACCAAACAACACTTCGGACGGTGTTTTCCCTGTACCTTTATTGAGCGTGTTGTTAAGACCCCATTGAACGTCAATGACTTTATCGTCCCACAGTTCTTCATTTCGGCCATGATTCATAGCCGTAAGTGCATCAAGAATGGTGCGATTATAACGCTCCACTTGCCCATTTGCTCGTGGAGTGGCAATCGCATTCATTATGTGATGCACTCCTAAATTTTTCAGAAATGATGCTATCTTCTTGCCAGTGAACGATGAATATCTGTCCGTTATGAGTCTAGTAGGTAAGCCGAACGTACCGAAGTATTCCCTAAATATTTTGATCGTAACTGAGGCCTTAGTACTCTTAACCGGTTTTAAAACTATGAACTTCGTGAAGGCATCTACAATTACCAATAAATATCTATTTTTAGAACGACTACAATTAAAAGGGCCCAGATGGTCAGCATGCAGAGTGTGAAATGGCGTTGGTACTTTCGGAATAGGATGGAGAAAACCAGACTTTTTCCCTGACGGGGCCTTGCTAAGTGCGCACTCTAGGCAAGATCCGACATACTTTTGGATGAACCTCCTCATTTTAGGGAACCAGTAATTTTCACTGACTTTCTCGAAGGTCTTATCAACTGAAAAGTGGCCAATATCATCATGACATGTGCGCAATATCTGCCATCTCACACCCTTGGGTACTAACCATTTAGGTCCAGTAGGAGTAATTCTGAAAACGTTGTTATTCTTTAAACAAAAATTATTTTTGATCTCCAGAATATTATTATTGGCGGGATCAGAAAGTATACTTTTTATCCTACTGACCTCACTGTCGGCAGATTGAACAGTTTTGAGCCAAGCATCATCTATTTTAAAAATCGTGGGAAAATCCAAAACATCGTCATCACTTTTAATCGGGTTCCTACTTAACGCATCGACATGTGTCATGCCTTTACCTGCTTTGTATTTAATCTCAAAGTCAAATTCTTGGATCAGACCCCACCAGCGAGCAACCCTGGGTAACATATCTCTTTTAGTAAAAGTTGCTTTCATCGAATTACAATCAGTCAAAATAGTAAACGGCATTCCCGCCAGATATGTCCTGAACTTCGTTAAAGATTTAACTACTGCTAAAGTTTCCAGTTCGTATGAAGAGAAATGTTGCTCTTCTGGTGAAGTCTGACAACTGTAATACGCAACCGGTTTCATGTTTCCATCCTTTTGTCTCTGTAACAATATCCCCCCTACCCCCCACTTGCTCGCATCAGTATGCAATTCGGTATAAAGGGTAGGATTGTACAGAGCCAACACAGGACGTGACACCAATCTAGTTTTCAGCTCATCAAAAGCCTTCTGCTGCGCATCATCCCAGGCCCACGGAGTATTATTTTTTAAAAGGGTAGTCAAAGGTTTAGCAATTATTGCGAAATCTTTCACAAACTTTCTGAAAAAACTAGCTAAGCCAAGAAATTGTCTTACGTTATGCACATTTTGTGGGATAGGGAAACTGCGAACAGCATCAGTCTTTTTCGAGCCGGGCCTGATGCCATCTACATTTATCTCAAAACCTAAAAAGTCAACCGATGTTTGGAAAAAATTACATTTTGTCAACTTCAATGTTAGATTAGCCTCTCTGACATGTTTGAAAATAGATTCTAATTTCGTTAACCCTTCATCTACTGATTTGGAGGGCACTAATATGTCGTCCATATATGCTACTGCCGTATTAAATCTGAGAGCTCCTAGGGCCTTATTTACAGTGCGCTGAAAAACAGCAGGCGCATTCGCCAAACCAAACGGCATCCTGTTAAACTCCCATTGACCGTCTGGTGTAACGAATGCTGTTTTAGATTTGGCCTCTTCAGTTAATTCTATTTGGTAGTAACCGCTAGCTAAATCTAATGTCGAGTAAAATTCATTTTCTGCTAATCGATTCATCTGGTCCTCCATACAAGGTAACGGATAATGCTGCTTGATTGTTTTTTTATTTAGTTGTCTGTAATCTACGCACAGCCTCTTATCCCCTGTCTTTTTCCTGACCAATATAATGGGGCTCGCATAAGGTGAGTTTGATTCGCGAACAATCCCCGTCTCAATTAATTCGTCTACCATCCCTTGAACCTCCTGCCTTTCATTTGCTGACATCCGATACGGCCTATATACCACCGGTTCATTGTCCTTCAATTTAATATCCATTTTTTCGATAGCCGTACATCCTAATTCTCCCATACAAGTCGCAAAACAATCCCGATATGAGTTGATTAACTCGGGAAGTTTAATTTTACTCCCCCGAGGGATGTCACCAACGTTCAAGTCGCTTAATGCAAAAGGTTCTAATATTTTGCCTTCACTTTCAATCTTATTAATTTTATGGATGCCAAATGATTCTAACACTATTTCCGCCCTAGCAATTAATTCATTTAATTGAAAATTCAATGGTCTCGATAAAGGCTCTACCATTATTACACCCTTCCCCTGAACCAATTTGTATACTCCTTCTTGCAACAGATATTCCTTGTCTACTTGCCCCCTAAAACCTCCTTTCACATACAGTAAACCGGTATACCCTGTATCGCAATACACATCAATGACCCCAGTCTCATGCATGGCGGTATCCTGACATACCCGCAATTCCAGCTTTCCCTTATATTTCGATTCATCAGAATTCTCAAACAACAATTTGTCACCTGTCTTTATAATTTTGACGTGAGGTTGTTCAGTGAGCGTCTGACCAATCAAAACCGGATGTGACATGAATACATCCGGCACCACCACACATGTGACTATGGTTTTAACATTTTGTATTTTAACCTCTGCTACACACGACCCTATAGACTCGACTAACGTCCCACCAAAACCCATCATAGGATATGACCTCGAGGTGTCCCACTGTTTAAAAATGTCCTTGGCTACACTCTCACGTATCAAAGTTAACTCGCTGCCCATATCAATGAAGGCTTCAGTTGGTACATCGTTAATAATTATATTCTGTATATACTTATTAACGTTTGGCTTTACAACTGGTACCTCTATAGCCATTACAGATTTATGTTCATTATTTTTTGATTGACGGAAACATTCGGAATCGACATGACCGATCGCTGAACATTTATTACACTTCTTAATCGGCTT